ATCGCAAGGCGTCCATTCTCTATCCGCGTGAAAATTCTCTCAGAATCTTAAACCCGCTATTAAAAAACTTGGAAGAAGAATAAGCCGCATACTGAGCCCGTTGCCGTATTTTTTTATGTTAAGTATAATTATATAACAGATTATCAATTTTTGAAGACGGCACGAAAATTATATATGGTAGCATATTTAATTTTAGAAGTATTTTTGCAGTTAGATGTTATGCGTTTTATACTTATTTAGCAACCGCGTCAAGACAGAATGATTATTTAATAGTTGCATAAATTACAAACCATTGCAAAAAAGGCCAGTTCCAGTATAACCTTGATTACATTTGCACGAGAAGCCACCATCAACAGTTGTAATACACTCAGCATTTCTATGACAGTTGTGCAATCCAGTGGAACAATAATCAACACCTGAAAACAATATTGAAAGCAATGTAAAAAATATAAAGGAATAGGTGGTTTTAATTGGGTATTCTACTCAATGATAACAATAATAAAAATCAATAACTTTATGAATTTCGGTCACTGAGTCATTTCGGTCACATAATTTCAATCAATTCCTCCGTTTTAAAACTGAATTTCTGGCATTCATAATCTTAGATTTAGGCCTTTAAAATATTCGGCAAATATTTCGAAAAACTTTAGATGCGAGATTCCAAACCGCGATCGTGATAATCCGCACGCACGCTGCTACAGCCAATCAAATTGCAAAAAGACTGGAATTCTGCCCGCCGCTGATAAAAAAATAAATGAGTTATGATAGAATTAGAAGTTCGTAGGAAAAGACCGAGTTCCAACATTTCAAACATTGATATTTAGGAAAAAACTCAAAAAACTCCAAAAAGCGTTTTATATTATTGTAATGTTCCTATTCCTCGAAATTTCGGCGCCGTTTTTTTTTCTGAGTGGGAAACATTGAATTTATTTGAAGACAAGCGACCAAACCAAAAATATTTTGTATGAGCGATGACCGTAATAAACATACATAATTATTATAGATATTTTATTTACCGGCTGCGAAGTCCGGATGCAAAAAACTGTGCCGAGGTCTCGTTTATTTTTTACTTAGACATTTTAATTAACCGCACGTTGCTCTGGTTTTGTCTTTTTTTTCACATTTTTCACAGCGGGTGGGTTGTATTTCACATGCAGTGGGCTGTTTTTGTCATCCGAAACGTTCCTCAGCCAATCTGATTGCTTCATTTACACAGTAAAAAAATATTGACCGTTAATCTCACCTCTTACAACACATTTAACTCCTGCATCTTCACCATGGCTGCAGTCATGTCTTCCCCAGTTAACACCAGGACAATTGGATAAATCAGTCTCACGACCAGTACAATGAAGCTCGTCTAACCATATCTTACCAGAACCATCGGGCACTTCATGAGGGGACAATGTTCGAAGAGCACCAGGGAAACCAAGTTGACGACATGCCACTTGAGCATCATTTATATCCCAATTATCATCACAGATTGTTCCCCATTGTCCATCATGGAATACTTCAACACGGCCAGTATTATTTGAAATTAATGGCCCTTCTAACCTTATAGAGAGCTCTGAAAAAAATTCAGAAATATTTCCAAATTCAGTAACGCCATGCAGTGAAAAAGCTTCAACTACATGAGACAGCAAAACAACTCCCAGAAGTATTTCATTGTTCCCATTTTGGAATATTCAAATATTCCCTGAAAATTTTTATTTAGTTGATCTTAGCGAGTAGTATATTTAATAAAGGGAATTAGTGCCGAATTTAAAGTGTTTCCCCCTGGACCCAAACAGTCCAAGTACCACATTACCATCTTTCATTTTCCTTTTCATTGCGCATCTCTATCCTTCTATTCGGAAGTCATGTGCAAAATTAATAAATTGTGTAAGCTCTGTTAAAATCAAGTACTTATATACATTGCTTGGAAGAATTAGACTCTATTCTCGTGTTTATTTAACATATCCCAGAATCTCATTTGTTCTTTCAATTTCACATATAAAAAGGAAATAGCATAAAATATTTTGTTTACCTTTGCAAATCGATCCATTTCGGTTAGGTTCGCCAATACAGCATCGATATGATCCAATAATGTTGACGCAATATGCGATTGAAGGACACTTGGAAGTTGACTCCGAACATTCGTCGATATCTATGGAAGGCATAGAAGTTTTAATTCATGTTATATCTTCACCTAGGTTTACCCAATCTTAGACGCTGTAATCTAAAGGTGTATATTCATTTAATCGCCACCGGGCCCAAAATATTTTCCACTAGACCCTGTCATTATTGCGTTTACATGGAGATTTATACTATACAAACCTTCGCAAATAGTTCCATTCCCAGTATATCCATGTTTACATGTGCATCGGTAAGATCCTTGATTATTGTTGCAAGTAGCGTTTGGATGACAGCTGTCAGTCAACAAGCATTCATTGATATCTAGGAAGACAGCTTAAAGGCTAAGCAATTTTTATGTTAGAGAAAAGAATAAAATAATGTTATATAATTTGGGTAAAATTCAATGTTACACGTCTTTAAGGTGTAGGGTCACTCGGATTATTCTAAAGTACACGATTAATCAAATTCACGATGTGGTCGTCACATTCTTCCGAATTATACTTTTTTTCAGACACTTTTCTGATTGTTTACAAAGCAACGGGGATGAAGAGTAAAAAATTTCGAATAGAGGATTGAATAAAAACTTCACTGAGCAATGTGTCCACAATTCGCAATTGCACTAGCTCTCTGCGCTTGTGCAAACCAAGGGCAGATTATAAATTTTGTATCATTTTGTATTCAAAAAGGTTGACAATTAATTGATCATACTTTCATAGCCGGCGAGGCAAAGCGTTAATTTCCTTTTAAAATCAACGCCGTTAAAATAAAATATGAACCACCCGCGTGCAAAGAAGAGACTATTAATATTTTCTTCCTTCACATTTGCGCGGCAGATTTTGTGAATTTAAAAGTCGCTATCATTCTGCGCCAACACGATAATTATTAATTTGTGTGACTTCAATCGAAAAGTAATTATGCAGTATAAGATAATTGTATGACTCACCAGAGCAGTAGGTGCCGGTAAAACCTTTATTACATAAACATGTAAAACCATTTGCAGTGTTAATACATTGAGAATTACTCCTACAGTTGTCCAATCCCATGGCGCAATAATCGACATCTATAAACAATAATGAAAACGTAGGACTGAAAAGAGGAATCTGACGTGTGGACCAAACGCCGTTCCTCTAAGTTGCAATAGGGCCTAACAAATTACCTAAAAACAAAATTTCACCAAATTTTGCAAGGAAATACACAGGTTGGATTAGCAGTAATTTAAAAATACGAAATTTGGCCAAATTTTGTACAGACGTTTGATTAGCAGTAATGTAAAATGCATTGTCAAATTCATGAATACCTAACCAAATTTCCTGAATTGTCACATGCACACTCTGTATTTCCCCTTACAATTTACTTTACAGAGATATGCAAATCAATTAACCACTAGTGTCTCTCACTGATTTGCATGTTTATTCAAATCCTATTTATTATAAATTCATTTCACAAGTCGTTTGCAACACTTGCGGCCGTGACGATTACGGCTCGCTTGCTCACAGACTGAATTTTCTTTTTTCCGAATGTCTAGGAAGGGATAAAGTCGGTGTACTGTGTCGTGCGCACTCGGATGTATGCAAACTAATTCGCGCATCGAAAAATTAACGAAAACATAAATGAACTTGGATACATTTCCAAAATTTTAACATAGTTTTTGAAATTTATTAATTGGGAAATACGGAAAATTGTTCATTTAAGGTGGCTCGATACGGTTTTCAAAAATTCCATTGTTCATCACTTTGATACGTTCAAACAACGCATTTTTACAATTTGTTCTAGAGATATCGGGGTTTTTATAAATTTCACTTATAAAAATTTTTTAAAAATCTCTTTTACCTTGTGAAGTACATTGCACTCCAGCATCCTCGGAATGACTGCAGTCATGACCTCCCCATCCCTCCCGATAGTGGTGAGGACAACTTTCTAGATTTTGTTCATTTCCAGTACACCGAACTTCGTCCAACCAAATCTGTCCTGAACCAGAAGGAACTTGACTTCCTTGAAGAGCTGCAAGAGCATTCCGATAACCAAGTTGACGACATGCAACGCGGGCATCATTTATGTCCCAATAATCATCGCATATTGTCCCCCATCTTCCTGAATAGAATATTTCCACACGACCAGTGCCATTCAAACTGGATGGTCCTTGTAATCTGAGAGACATATCTGAAATTGTTGAAAATGAAAATTAGAAAATCCAGCAGGCCATGATGTGGAACAACACACAAGGAAAGACATAGGGAAAATATCCCGAGCAATCAAACATTATATTTTATAATTTGTTAGTGTCTTCAATTCATTTTCCCATTCGTCCGGGCGCAATTCCGAAAAACTATACAACAGACGACAAATAGCGCAAATGCAAAAACCAATTCAAGCGAATCCAAGTAACGTTGCGACATTGGTTATTGGTAATAAAGAGGAATCGAAAAAATTTGGTGGTAATATTGTCTTACAATAGTGAGATGATAACAAGTGGAAATACTGTATATCTATATAATTATTCTCAACTGGATTTACAAAAATACTTAGGCATGGGTACAGATACAGGTAAGCTTTAAACTAAACATGCTGGGGGGCAAATAGCAATTTTTTTTTCTTGGTCATAAACAATGAATCGTATAGGGTCACCTCTGCAAGTAGAGTCATTTCCACGACTTTGTCTATCACAGCATAAATAAGATCCATTAGTGTTCATGCAATTTGTCTCTGAAGTACAGAGGTGTGTTGAATCAGAACATTCATCTATATCTAAGCAAAAACAATTTATTGAAGTCAATCTTTTGAAACAAAAACATATGCCCAGAGCAAAGTCCCGGGATAACTCGAAGTTTGTCCTCAACTTATTGCTGACAAAAGAAAATTTACTCGGAAAATATTCATACAAATAATACCTTCGCAAATGGTTCCATTTCCAGTAAACCCACCATTGCATGTGCATCGATAAGACCCGTGAGTGTTCGTGCACAAAGCATTCGAGTGACAGTTGTTTACTGATGAACATTCATTGAAATCTAGACCAAATATCACAAGTAACCTGAATCTCCTGAAGGACACCGTTTCTAGTTACTATATTGATCTCTTAATTACCGGCCATATGTGTATGAAAAACACATGCACACAGAAGCGTAACAAGCACAGAGAAATCTCAAGAGAATAAAACTATTAGAACTTGGCTGCCATCATCGATGTCAGATTGCTGCCAATGCCTTTGCATTATTGTTGGTAAATAATTATGAAGATATTTTACTCACCAGAGCAAGTAACGCCGTTCCCGGTAAAACCTTGATTACATCTGCATGTAAAGCCACTGCCAGTGTCGGGAATACATTGGGAATTACTCGCACAGTTGTGCAATCCCAATGAACAATAATCGACATCTGTAACAATTATATTGATGAGGGTAAAAAAAAGAATCTCATATTGTATGTTTTTCGTACGACTTAGTTGGCAAAATGAAATCACTAATAAGAAATTCATGAAATCACTAATAATAGACTCATGAGATTCATGAAAACGTATAGATGAACGAACAATTTCATAAGTTGTAGTTGTTAGCATGCAGTATAAGAAAATCATATTGCGGTTAAAATTAAAACGTTTTAAAAAAATGAACCTACTGTACCTTCTGAACTACATTCCACTCCAGCATCTTCCGAGTGACTACAGTCATGTCTTCCCCATCCCCCAAGGTGGTGAGGACAACTTTCTAGATTTTGTTCAGTTCCAGTACACCGAACTTCGTCTAACCAAATCTGTCCTGAACCATCAGGAACATCTTCTCCTGAAAGAGCTCTACGAGCATTCCGATAACCAAGTTGACGACATGCAACCCGGGCATCATTTATGTCCCAATTATCATCACAAATTGTTCCCCATTTTCCTGAATGTCGTATTTCCACACGACCAGTACCATTTAACCTGGATGGTCCTTGTAATCTAACAGTCATGTCTAAAATTATGCCAATTTGTGTTATATCAATTTTTTGCATAGTTGGCTCAAGATACCATTAACCTTATATAAAATTTATCAAATTGAAATTTATTGTTATACCGCTTATGCGAACGAAAAAATATTTTTTTAAATATGTTTCTTATATTTAAGAGAAGATTCTTTATTATGTCCAGTATTTGGCGGTTAACGTCCAAAACATATCTCAACGCTAAAAAAACTCTTTTCGGCGTTCGACTCAAAATTCATTTATTTTACCTTTATTCTATTGAACTGATTATGTTGTGAACTAAGTTTTGAACTGTAGATGCTTTTAAGGTTTTTAAAACATTTTTAATGTTGAAATTTTGGTACTTTTTCATGAAGATGTAACTGAGGTTTTGAGTACATATTACGCGACTTATCTTTTCGTAAAAATCTCTTCTCTTAATTATTCTCTATTGCTAATCATGGGTGATGGGTTTGATATCGCACACGCTCAAAACATTATCTCGCACATAACTTAAAAACTACTCACAAAATGTGCATGTGTAAACTCGTTGTAACCTTTGGAATGGTTATATATTGTATACGTTTTGATCTGCAATGGGTATGATTTACGATAGTTATGATTTTTATTGGTTATAATTTATAATGGTTAGGATTATATTTTGTGATTTTTATGAATCATAATGGTTTGGATTTATAATGCTATATCTTTTATGAGGGTGCTTTTACACTTTAAAATTTTCCTGCCGAATTGCAACGCAATTATAATTCTGATGAATGATAATTCACAAAGAGTGTTCGAAATGTTAAGAAAACGTTATTAAATCGTAAGAAATGTTCGTAATAAAATTTTGTCAACTTTAGATACCTCAAAAGTTGAATTACATTGCAAGTTGCAAGGAAAGTTGCGCAGTGTAACCGCGCCTTAATGGTTATCATCTGAAATAGTCATGTATCTTTATGATTTGTAATTGTTAAGACTTGCAATAGTTATGATTTATAATCATAGTTATGATTTGTAATGTTTATGATTTGTGATGGTTATGATTTGTAGTGTTTATTTTTTATCATTGGTAAGATTTATAATTGGTATGACTTAAATGGTTATGCTTTGTAATGGTTATGATGGTTGATGGTTGATTTGTAATGGTTATGATTGATGATGGCTATGATTTGTAATGGTTACGATTTCTGAAGGTTATGATTTGTAATGGTTACAATGGGTAATGGTTCTGATTTCTATACGTTATGATTTGTAATGTTCATGATTTGTGATGGTTATGGTTTTTAGTGCTTTTTATTTATCGTGGTTAAGATTCATAATTGCTATATGACTTAAAATGTTTATGCTTTGCAATGGGAATGATGGTTGATTTTTAATGGTTATGATTTGTAATGGTTATGATGGTGGATGGCTATGATTTGTAATGGTTACGATTTCTAAAGGCTATGATTTGTAATGGTTATGATGGGTAATGGTTGCGATTTCTATACGTTAACGTTATGATTTGTAATGTTTATGATATATAATGGTTAGCTAGTACTTAGGATTTATAGTGGTTATAATCAGAACGTAGCGAGGCAGCGTCTTCTAACTCCTCGCATCATATGTGGCTTAGAAAACGTAAAACAAAACAATGTTAGGGCAGTTATTATACTGGTCTCGTATACCTCGGCAAGCCACACCACTTCCACCTGTTTGTCTGGAACAACATTGATATGACCCAACAGTGTTTCTGCATGTTGTGTTTGAATTACAGCTGTGGGAGCCCTGAGAACACTCATCAATGTCTAAAAACGATAATTATAGCTTCTCCTAGCTACCTTGTTGAAACGTCGATAGTATTAATACAGCTTTCGCGAATGGCGAATGATTTTCGTTGCGCGACCATATTTAGGTGCATTCGACGATATATTCAAAATTAAATTCTAACATCGTCTTTGGCGTTGTCGTCTTAAAGCTAAATCTGCCTAATACAAAATGCGGTCGATATAGTATGTGCATGCTCAACCTGAAAAAATCTACTTTGCGAGTACAAACCATGGCAAAAAGTTCCATTTCCAATATATCCACTGTTACATATGCATCGGTAGGATCCTTCAGTGTTGGTGCAAAGAGAGTTTGAATTACAGATGTTTTCAAATATACATTCATTGATATCTAGGGGTAAAAACCAGACGTTATGTCAATTATCATTGTTAGATAAGATATCCGTAGTCGGTTTCAAAAACTCTCCTACCAATTTCCTAGCCCATTCATCCTGAATTCAGATAGAATAGGGCAAGAAGGAAATAATATATATATTGCGTCCGTGGAAATGTATCATTACTATATGAAAATTTATGTCAAATGTCCAAAATTTCTAGCAATAGCCTCGTCTGCTAACAATGTCGTTTAATGTTAACGTTTTATTCATCTTAACTTTGAGGTTAATCCACTTACCATTGCAAAAAATACCATTTCCAGTATAACCCTGTTTGCATGTGCACGAAAAACGCCCATCAGTGTTATTACATTGAGACTTAGTGTGACAGTTATCCAAATTTAAGGTACAATAATCGACATCTATAAAATCATAATATAACACCTTAACACCTTGCGATTTTGAACTAGACCTAAATTAATTTGCAATCTACAGTGTTCGACATGCATGAGATAATGTCGGATAGAGAAGACCAAACGATTGCTATTTAGCGTGAGCATTGCTGAAAATGTTAATGTCAGCTTTTAATGTTAAATAGTTAATTTTACCCTTTGAAGAACATTGCACTCCCGCGTCTTCAGAATGGCTACAATCGTGGACCCCTCGTCCCAAATGATCGCAGCTGGTAAGATTTTGCTCATTTCCAAGACAATCGATCTCATCTAAAAATATCAGTCCAGTCCCAGATGGCACTTGTCCACCAGTTAATATTCTAATAGCACCCATGTAACCAAGCTGACGACAAGCAACTTGAGCATCATTTATATCCCATCTATCATCACAAATTGTCCCCCATTGTCCATTAAGACGTATTTCCACACGACCAGTACCATACAAACGTGATGGCCCTTCTAACCTGATATCTATCCCTTGAAAATTTTTGCAATGACAGTTAGTAATAAAAACAATCTTTTCTCAGGTTACATACTTAATATGGAAGTATAACTCCCATTCACCCCCTCTCCAAAATAAAAAAATTCTGTAATTCAAATAACCTAAGGTAATAGGTGGTTCAATTTTAATATTATACGGATCCAGCAGACACAATGTTTCAGTTACCTTTGCAAATCGTAGAGACTCCTGATGAATCGGGATAACAACACTGATATGACCCAACAGTATTGGTGCAGGTTGTGTTTAAAGGACAATTGTATGTAGATTGAGAACATTCGTCTATATCTAAAACGAATGTTAAACAATCAAATATTGGCTGAAAAGGATTTAAAAAGTTATTCAGACGAATATCAATGTTATCTGCCGAAGCAATCGGATAATATCTAATCCTGAGGTGTGAAGAATTATTTTTAGTATAAATTTCGAGGTGAGTATTGATTTTTCTGTATTCTGATTGGTGAAGCGATAGTCACTGATCAGTGACTACAGCTTTTTGTTGTTGTTGTTGTTTCTCAAATAAGAAATTTGGAATGATTATATTTTTTATGAAATTAGGTAAATTTGGAAACGAATATTTTTAGTTCTATCCATCGTATAGCTATAGTTCTATCCATCGTATAGCTACATGAAGGCCTGATTCCACGGGTGCAATTTCTCGGCGAAATGCGAAATATTTCGTCTGTTCCTTTTCAATTGTGACCACTCGGATGAGTTATTTCTACTTGACTGCTCACAATTCAAAAGAGCCAGGGGAAATATTTCGCATTTCGCTGAGAAAAAGCGCCTGTGGAATCAAACCTTGAGGGTATATCCACAGTGAGCCATTTTCTTCAGTTTCTTTCGCGCGCTTCAAGTTTGAGTTGTTAGCGTGGCAAGACCTGCATGTGCAAAACCGAGTCCAAAATTTATATTTTGGAAGTTCGACCCAAATAAACTCTTAAGAGGAGCCGATTTTTTATTATGTCGCGTATTTTGGCAGAAAAACGCTCAAAAACATAAAATCTTTTCAGCGCACCGCTCAAATTCGTTTTTTTTACCCTTTAATCTTTAGATTTACTAAGTTTTGAACTGTATTGGGTGAATGCAAAACACCAAACAACCCTTTGTTATTGCAAAATATAACACGGCTATCAACAATGTTATAATGTCAACACCATTATCACTGAAATGAATAAAAAGAAGCGCCGATTCAAGTGTCATTTACTTCTCGGCGTATCCCGAGAAATTTTTTCTTTTTCACAATATTTTGAGATTATACAGTAAACATACTTTGTGGATGCTTTTCTGGTTTGGAAAACATTTTTAATGCTGAAAATCTTAGTGGTGTTGCATGAAGATATAATTGAGGTTTTGAGCATATATTACACGACATAGAAAAATATCTCCTCTTAATGAATCAGTCAGTGGCTAGAATTAGGTGATAAATAGTAATTGAGGATATATCCGGCGCTGTTTAACAACAATGGACGACAATGCTCACAAAATGTACTAAAGATAAGATTAAATTGATTCCTAATAAAGGTGTAGGCCGCTTGTTCCGCGTTTTTTTTGCTCAGGATATCTTTTTTGTAAAAGCTATGATAATCAGATACTGTACCTTGGCAAATTGTCCCATTTCCAATGAATCCACTTTTACACGTGCATCGGTAAGATCCTTGAGTGTTGGAGCATGTAGCGTTGGAAGAACACGTGTTAGGTAAGGAACATTCATTGATGTCTATAAAAAACAAAACATCATACAAATGTGATATGAGGCATTATGACGCATGATTTTCCTGCATTCTGATTGGTCAAGATTCATGTCTCGAAAGTCACAGTCACTGGCGTATACCTATAGCTTTTTGTTGTCGTTTTTCAAATACGAAATTTGAAGTAATAATAAGATTTTATGAAATTATTATTTGTAAACACCTCGAAATTTATTTTAAAATAATTAGTTGCCTCAGGCTCGGTAATTAGAAGCCCATATTCACATCGCCTTCGGCCAACTGCAAAATATAATGCTTGAATATGATTTAGGGAAATTGGTCTGAAAACCCAACTTGCCAATTTTCTGTCGTGTTAGTAGAAAAGGCATTCGCCAGTAAAACATTCGCCTGTTCATTTGATATAGTTACAAACTAAAATCCTTTATATCAAGCTTAAGAAAAATCTAGGAATCTCTGTAGAATTTAAGTTATATTCATCACGAATTCAAACTGCTTAAGAAATATTTCGACCAAGACTCTATGACAAGTAATGAAACGACATATATGTACGAGTATCGGTTATCAGAAACAAAATACATCTGTACCGGTGAATATTAATTAATCTGGACATCTTGTTCATAATAAGAGCAAAATATAAGCGAAAATATAAGTGTAACAACAATGAATAAGTTGTTACTAAAATTTGTTTTAGCAAATTGTTAGAAAATTAAATAGCTACATTAGAATATCGAAAACAAATAAACTGGAGCAAAATTAAAATATCCGAAATAATTTAGTGATGAAATTGAGGGATACAGAAATTATTATACATATGCATGTATCATAAAACCACTAGATTACTGTAATGTTTAGTCCTGCAAAAAATTACTCTTTAGAATTATATTAAAAATTAATTAAAATTCAATTAAAAATAATATAAATATTACAGAGTTTGACGTGCGCGTGTATGTTAGCTGATAATCTCACTACGAGCTACCTTTGCTCGATGGTAGAGAACAAACTTTCAAATAAGGGGCGAGGTCAGGTGGAGTCCAAGCATGCAGGAGCGGAATGTGTAATTTCGAATACTTGCAGACTGTAGCGTAGCCAGCCTGACGATTTGTCCCGCTATGCTAATATTTTGGTGTTAATTGACTGTGAAAACAATAATTTTCTTAAAGAAATGAATTGTTATAATAACTCGAAATTTACATAGCCGGACAAAATCGTCAGGCTTCCTACACCACTACAGTTTGCAGACTGCATATTTTTCTCTGATTGTTGCAGATAGCCACAAAAAAAGTATGAACTACATAGCTAATTTCATTTCTCTATCCTATTTTTTCTCATTTCAAAAACTCGACCTTGACCCCTATGCAAAACTTGCTGTGTTTTACAGAGACAAGGAGTTTCTACATTGTGCAAACTCCAGTTCTTTGGTTAAAAATGATATAAGGTACTACAAACTACTGACAGCAAAATATTACAATTCAAACCTATGCTAATAATTTAGCGAGTGTAGAAACACGTCAGGTAAGCAGACTTTAAAAAGGTTTTTTTTTACTTACCACGACAGGAAACGCCATTCCCACTATAACCTGGATTACATCTGCATGAAAACCATCCATCTTTCTTAATGCATTGAGCATTGATATGACAGTCGTCTAATTCCAAGGAGCAATAGTCGAGTTCTACAAACAATAATAAGACACAAAAGACGGATAAAAAACGAAGGGAAATTCACCAGGAACCTTTTAGAGAGCATGTGATGGGGAATTATCTAATAATGTTGACATTGTTGGCCTACTTGCTTTCTAGATCATGAAAATTACTCCAAACACGAATTTTGTTAATCTTCATTCTCTTAGTTCATCTTCGTTCCCGTGTGGCCTACTCTACAGTTGTGTTAATCACAAAGCATCCACAACCGATCAAACCAGTAATATCAACTTTTATGCGTTTGACGTCATTATGAGATAGCTAGATTCTTAGACGATTAATTTTTTAATCAATTCATAGATTGTGTAATATTTCTTTAATGTCCTTAAAAATTCAGCTACAGTCAGGAGCAGCCACATCTTAATTTTTCGGTACACCCTGTGGGCTATAAGCATACAAACATATGTTTAGAATTCGTACAATTCGAGGCATTGTCTTAATTCATACACGAACATTGAATTTTGAGTGTTTTGAATATGTAGTTAAAAGAAACTGCTGTAAAAATAATGGGCAATAAAAGGATTGCCTCATCTTGATATATAGCGGACTTTCCTATGTGGTTAGGCTTAATTCAGGTCAAATTAATATCCTATTTATTATCATTTTTCTTATCCTTGTTATATAAAAAACAACCAAAAAGTGGCAATTACGATGAATTGTTCCTAGCTACTCCACTGTAGTAACCTATAATCAGTTGTTTTGGGCCTTGCATGGTTTAACATTGCAGGTGTATGTATAATTTTACCTTTAGATGTACATTCTACTCCGGCATCTTCAGAGTGGCTGCAGTCGTTGACTCCCAAGCCACGATGCGAACAATTGGTTAGATTTAGCTCACTTCCGACACATTGAACATCGTCTAACCAAATATGTCCAGTGCCAGAAGGAACTTGGCTTCCTGGCAAAGCTTTGACAACACTCCGATAACCAAGCTGACGACACACCACTCGAGCATCTTTTAAATCCCAACTGTCATCACATACTGTTCCCCATTGACCATTATGGAACATTTCAACCCGGCCAGTACCATTTGAACTCGACGGTCCTCGTAATCTCAGGGAAATCTCTGACAATAAATAATATTGATTATTTAAGTAGCACATGGACTGGATTTAAAGACCTTACCCCGTACTGCAATTAATATTGAGATGTGTCCTATATCATGTTCGAAGCAATTGGCATAAATTGAAGATGAAGATAATTGAGATAAAGTGGATCATTTTACATTCATAAATGAGGACAAAGGGCACTCGTAAAAATATATATTATCATAATGAAGAAGAAGAAATGTTAGAAGTCACGCGGCAATGCAAAATCTGATTCCAAACAATAAAGTTAAATCAGGGTTTTTACCTCGGCAGATTCCTTGATCTCCTACAACAGAATTTTTACTGCAGCAAACATATGAACCCACAGTGTTGCTGCAATTTGTGTTTGATGGACAATCGTGAGTTAAATCAGAGCATTCATCCTCATCTAAACACACGACGAAAAATTTGTTTTTACGGTTGTAAAATTTGCTTTGCATCTTATTGAAAAATTGATATGAGTGACTATAGGCATACCCTGACAAACAGTTCCGTTTCCAATATATCCATTTTTACATGTGCATATGTATGATCCAACATTGTTGGCACAAAGAGCGTTTGAATCACAGTTGTTAGATGATGAACATTCATTGATATCTAAAAGAAATCACGACAATCCGTATTATAATAATGTATGGTTGAATAGAAGCTGCATTTTTTTTAAGCACGTCGTTCCCTTTTGCACGTGGCCAGCGAATGTAATAAGGGTTCACCTATTTGTCTGTGACTAAAGGTTGTTCACATGAGCCCCGTTCCGAGACTTAACGAAGCGTACAAAAAATGGACTTTAAGGTAATGACAAGAGTTGTTTTGAAACAGAGCAATCACATGCCATTGTTAAGATGATCAAATGACTAGCAGAATCGTGTTATTTACTCATTTCAACACCTCAAAGTCCATTTTACGGGTTTACATTGTTTTAAAAGTGCCCTATTTTGTACACTTGTCGTTAAAATGACCCGCCAACCAGCATTTTGAGTCTGGTGTGATTCTGCATCTACATTGTTGTCTTTTCTAATGCCGGTTATTTTTCCTTTCATGTAGAGATATATATTATTGAGACTAACCAGTGCAACTGACACCACTTCCAGTAAAACCTTGATTACATTTGCATGAAAATCCGTCAAAGGTTTTAGAGCATTGAGCATGGCTATCGCAGTTGTCCAGCTCTAAGGCACAATAATCGATATCTGAAAGTAAACAATTATACTAAATGAACTAAACGCCGTCCCAGCGAGGATTTACACAAATAACACAATGATTAGCCGGAACCTTGAAGGAATTAATTGCTCTTGAAAATCAAAAAAAATATCTAAAATATTTAAGACATCCGCGTAACCATCATGACGGAATTCAATTAATTTCAAAAGCAATTGAGAATTGAAATATACTAACTTTATTGTTTTTAGGCATTGTTGTCGTGAGAAATGTTTGTCCTATATGAATGGAATAATTTACCTTCCGAAGTACATTGTACTCCAGCATCTTCAGAATGACTGCAGTCATGACTTCCCATGGCGTTCGAAGGGCAACTTGTTAAATTTCGCTCATTCCCAGTACAAGCAACTTGGTCTAACCAAATCTGTCCTGAACCAGGAGCAACAAGTTCCCCTTGAAAAGCTTTTAGAGCATACCGATAACCAAGCTGACGACATGCAACACGAGCATCATTTATATCCCAATCATCATCACAGATTGTTCCCCATTTTCCTGAGTGGAATATTTCCACACGACCAGTACCGTTTGAACTTGATGGTCCTATTAACCTGATATCTCTGCCTAAAACATGAAAATTATATTCTTCAAATACGATATTGATCGAAATGTTTAGTATTTTGGCCGAGGTTAGGCCTAGTTCATACGTCGCATTTTGGTCGTGTCGAATGCAATTCAAACGATAGATAGTGAGATGATAAACCTTATTAATGTTCATTATCATTTCATTATCTTTTGTTTGATTGCACTCCACGCGACCAAAATGCAACGTTTAAGCTAGGCCTTAGTCTGCCGTAAGTACAAGCAACGTCTAAGAGTAACAAGAAAAATATATTACAATTTATAGGTATAATTGAGGAATACCTCGTGATTTGTTAATGAATTAGATCGGCGAGTTCAACTAACAGGCTAGATTATACACAATTAACTAAGACCAATCTCAAACGTCGCGTTTCGTCGCTTCGAATGAAATTCAAATAACAGATGAGATGATAATGAAGATTAAGGAGGTTTATTATATTGCATTCGACGGGACCAAAATGCGATGTTTGACCTGCCCTAAAGCTCGTTTACACTATACCGGATTCGCTTGTTCTACAATTGTACCGCTTGAGGTATTTGTTCATAACGTTATAAAATTTCAACGAATTAAAGGTTCCGTGATATTTCTAAATCTTTACCTTTGCATGAAGACTTATCTCCAGATTGGTCACTATCACAAATACAAAGATAAGATCCATCAGTGTTGGTGCAGCTTGCATTTGGGAGACAGTTGTGAGCGGAAGTAGAACACTCATCGATATCTAAAGCGAACAAAGAAGGACATATTCGGAATTACTTTTAGATTTTGATAAAAAGAATGTACCTAGGCATGTTCTCAGTCCCAACTCTACTCATTTGGCGTGAATTTGTGCGGCAATATGTTCCGATTCTCAAGCAAATTTTGAAACCGGTCAGCATTTAATAAACACTTTCGTTGGAATTTGAATGCATGTATGATTAAGTGGGTGAGTAAAAAAAACTAACGCCTTTGAAATTCAAATTAGCCGCGAACTCATGGCTGGAATTTGACAATTCCCATGTGTACAATGAACAGGACGTGGTTAATTAATGCGAAAGTGTTTAAACCAATTTAGTGAACTAATTCAACGTGGCGCGTGTGCTAGAAAAACGATTTGATAAAACTGTTCTTTTTTATTTACAGAGCTTAGAATGCATTTTAACTCGCAAAGGGAACAAACTTTATGTTTTAGGTTAATTAAAGGCGTTCACTTATTTGATATGCTTTGTATAGCCATGAGATATTTTAGGCAACTTCTGTCACATTACAGCCGCTAATTTGAAGTTCAAAGGTGTCAGTTTTTTTGACTCACCCTGTAGTGTGTAAATAGCATATTATTTGTTAGAGGCATTCAAATTAGGCGTTTCGCTTTCAATCTTACGCATCCGTGGGTTTAGCGTAATAAGGCGTTCAAATTTTAACGAAAGCTTAATTTCAATAGGGAGTACTTTTTATACACCCTGTTCAGGGTGCATGGAAAAAAAAGCAATTTAATATTTCACGAATAAAACTACTTGTTTAACAACAGAAAAAACATTTGGTCCTGAGAAAAGGCGAGTGAAGCGAAGGTCTGCGTTCAGGCTACGGATTTGAGGCTTTTAATCGTATTCTATTGTCATTTTTTTAAACACCATGCATGTATATATCCCAGTGCAGATCATGTGGGGGATGACAATAAAAAGGCATGAAGATATTCAGAAATTATCACTAACCATTGCAAATTATACCATTTCCGGAATAACCATCAAGACATACACAGGAAAATGCTCCAGGAGTGTCAATACATCTTGAATTATTGCCACAGTTGTCTAATTTCAAGGAACATTCATCGATGTCTGTAACAAAGAGGTTATTGCATTAGATAATGTTTGAATTTGACATTCTCTTTGATATTGTAGTTTAATAAAGTGGAAACACTGTTCGGTAAAGTACTAAAGTGGAAACATAGCTAAAAAGAAACTTGTTGTAGTTTAAAAAACTTCGTGGAACTTTTTTCATACACTATTTTGACATGATTTTGTTGTACAAATTAACGAAATTTATAAATTATCTGGTATCCTTAGTGCGTTAGAACTCACAACAGATAAAGCAAGTGGAATTTCGTTCAGTGACCCAATCAGAAGGCGTAAATTTTGACTATTTCCTGTAAAAAGGTAAATTATTTACCATTTTACATGAAGTATTAAAAATTTACGCATTCTGATTGGCTTTGCCTAAAAAACGTAAACAAATACGCCGATTAGTTTCAAACGAAATTCCTCCTTGTTCATTAGATACTATTGCGTTATAGGTAGGAAATATACTTTCCAGCTAAATGTTTACACTATAATAATAGTTGATAATACTCACCTAGTTCCAGTGCCATCCGGTTCCCTGAGTTACAAAGGTGGGACACACCAGGACTAATATCAAGACCAGGTTTACCATGAAAGCGCCAAGGACTTACGCAATAATTTGGGTACTTATTAACAAGTTTTAAATGTCGCCCAACGGAATCGTACCGCCATCTGCTGGCAATTGGTCCATCGCAATGATAAGTAAGGGTGACAAAAAGATCACTTCGTGCGATAACGCATTTCCCAGAATTTGCTTCTTGCAGGATGTTTTCTTTGATGAAACGAAAATGATTACCAGGATGTCTTGAGAATTGTAGATGATGTTCACCGAAACGGCTTAAGTAGCCATAAGCACTTGATTTGATAAGGTATGTGTTGTAACGGGCAACTGAAGCAAGAAAAAATGAAATATTTTTCTTCCTGTAAAATAATTGTAAAATTTCCCCACATAATACACGTTTGAATAAATTAGAATATCAATTTGCCGGATTCTAATTGTGTTCTACTTCGACCTCGTATTCATTGACTTTGAAAAAGTGAATTTCTAAAGAAATTATAGTATATAATAGCATACAATATAAGAACAGACTGCTTAACTCAAGTTGGTAAATTATCGTTCAAAGTCATAGATAAAAACAACCTAAACAAAACGACTCGAATTTATAAAAGCCATACAAATTAGGGAAATGTTTTTACCTGTTGAAGTGCATTCAACTCCAGCATCTCTGGAATGGTCGCAATTATTACTACGAAACGCCAAGTGATGAGAACAACTGTTAAGAAATTGCTCGTTTCCAGTGCAAGCTACATCATTCAGCCATATCTGTCCAGATCCACGTGATACTTGTCCTCCTTGAAGAGCTCTAACAGCATTCAGATAACCAAGCTCACGGCATACAACCTTCGCATCTTTTAAATCCCAATTTGTGTCACAGACTGTGCCCCAGGTTCCATTGCGAAGTACTTCAACACGTCCAACACCTTTTTGACCTGACGACCCTCGTAACCTGACGTTTTTTGACTTACCTACCGACAAAAAAACAGCAAAGGTTGAAACAATAAAGTAAATTATAATATATAAAAAATCCTGTTTTTGATGCGTAAAAAAGTTTGTTTACATTTTTAATAACCCAATCAAGATGCATAAATTTTGACTATAATTCCGGTAAACCGCATGAAATATGAAAAATTTAGGCGCTCTGATTGGCTTTTTCCTGAAAAATGTAAACAAATACTAAGCGATTAACTTAGCATGAAATGTGGTATAACAACCGCCTGAAATAGACAAAACACTTCTCGACCTTCCGACTTGAGGGCCTTCGTCAGGAGAGTTAGTGTGAGAGTTAGTATCGTAAATTTTTAGGAATTAGGGCTACGTTTTTACACGGAACCGGACGAAGTTGGGACAGCCCGAAATCGTTCGTTTTCCTTGTGTGTACAGGAAGATCTGGTCTACCGTGTAAACACCTGAGGCAGATGAATTTGAGCACGGCCCTAAATTCGTCTGATTAAGACTGACAAAAACCAATCTTGAGATGTTCAACAAAGATCTTAGTAATGTTTTATCAATTGTTCAAAACATAGCTGGCTATTATGGTGACAAAGACGAGTTTTTGGTTCGTGTGGAATCCGTTACCAAAGGTTCAGTTCTATTCACTTGGAGAAACACCGCCTTAGAAAGTTGTGATGATGACTTGATAAATCATACAGCAAGCAAACTCGTAACCAGAGAAAGAAATATACAACCAGATTTCTACAACGTTTTCTTGCCAAAGTTTATAGCAACTGACGTGTTTATTAACTATACAGACGAATCTAAATTACGCTCGCGTAAAGCAAGTTTTCGTTGACGAGTTTTCCTTGCCAAGTTTGATTTCCTCATGTGTACGCGAAAAAATTTGATAAATTTTTCTTGACAAGTTTTACGATATTAATGAGTATATTTTACGATAATATGAGCCGTTATAAAATGAGTATACGACCGAATCTAAAAACAAACAGAGGTGATAAAACTGTTCCAAACTGCGCAATTCCTTGTCAAGTAGTTCCTTGACGGCCAAACACACGAGCATTTTTCCTTGTTGAAAAGCTGGCATGACTAGCTTTTGAACGGCTCCTTGTCAAAGAAAACTTGTCAATTTTTTCGCGTACAGACGAGCAAATGAAACTTGCAAAGGAAAACTTGTTCGGCTGTACGGGGTTTAAACGTAGCCTAGCTATAGATCAGTTCCTATCACAATGAAAATTTAGTACAAAAGGATTAATTAATCGTGAGTTTTGTTACTTATTAGCCATTCCGAAGTTGCAGTAAAGGACTGGTAATAGTGATATTGACAATGCATCATGGGGCTGTTTTTGGGACGTACCTTTTGTTTACGTCCCAAAAACAGTCCCTTAATGCCATGTCGGCTTCACTAGCACCAGTCCACTACCACAACTTCGGAATGGCTAATTGATAGCTGGTCAGACATGCGACATAAGCATAAGAACAGTTCAGTTATATGCAAAAAAAGGGGCCATAAATTCAGTTATTTCACTTACAAGTTGATCCATTCCTGGCATCACAGGTGCATAGATAAGATCCATCTGTGTTGGTGCAATTATAGTTTGCCATACAGTTGTGCGATGATTGTGAACATTCATCAATATCTAAAGCGATTATAAATTCAAATTGAAATCAAAACGTAATTATAGAATGCTTGATTTTTTCAATAATCATGTTTCTCCCGTTGATATATGCTTGCGATTCTGTACAATCGATTATATTATTGTTTTTTTTTTCCAAAATAGAAATAAACGAAATAGAACTATACAGTAACTATAATTAATTATTTTATCGAAGTTAACTCAAATCTGCCACTTCAGTGTGAAATAGTCGTTTTGCCCCCTTTCATGAGCCGGTCGATTTAAAAAATTCAACAATTTTATTTAATTTTGTTTAAAGCTTTAAGCAAAAATTGAGAGGTGCTATAACATATAAAAGTAATATTTTTTAACTGAGGTCTCAGCCGTAGGAATATGCCTGCTATTTAGCAACATATCATTAGACGTTTTTTCAAGTGTTTTTTGTTTAACACATACAGGCTAATCCAAAAGCAGTAAAATACCTTGACAAAAAGTTCCATTTCCTGTATATCCATCGTTGCATGTGCAATCAAAAGAACCAATTTTGTTGGTACAAAAAGCATTTTTGTGGCAATTATCAAATGTCGAGCATTCATCGATGTCTAGAAGAACATTAAGAGTCAGAAGTTACCAATCACAATGTTCTTTCCGGCCTCAGATTTTGATTGTTCTCTACAGCCAGACAACTCCAAAATGATTAGTTTAGCTGCATGGTAAGCGCGAAAGACTGGCTATAATCCATGCTGGCATATTCAAATACATGTTTTTATTGTAATCTTAACAGTTATATTACACACGTTTTATGAAGGTTTAGGCCCTCATTCAAACTACAGATCGTGAGAAATTTGTTTTAGAACGCAGGGAAATATTTAAAAAGTTTATTTTGTTGACTCATGGGCACATGGATATATACTTGTGTCAAATATGCCAAGTACTTTCTTCCCAGGGTTTGTAAAATGCAATGGTCACTTTTAAACGTTATTATAGGGGTAAAAACTGGACGAATTCATGAAATACTGAATTGACAAAAAAAACTATCAACTAACCAACGCATGTAACGTTGTTTCCAGTAAATCCCTTTTTGCATTCGCAAGAAAAACTCCCGTGAGTGTTTACGCAGTAGGAATTACTGGCGCAGTGGTGAGTATTCAAGGAACATTCATCAATATCTATAATGCAATAAAAAATGTTTATATACAGTTTAACATGCATGGGCAGTTATTGAGACACAGAAAATTTTAAACTATAATGAGAAACACGGGGATTTCGTAAAAAATCTTTAGGGATGAGTTTTAAATCACAAACAATCGGCATTTTAAACCTGGCACTAAACAATACTATTACGTTGTGAACATCGCTAACCCAAAAAAAATGATGAAATGAAAAAATTTTCTAAACGATTCAGTGCCTTTTCAAGAAATCGTTTGAGCGTGGGTCTTGAGATTGAATAGAAGCGATTTTAAAAAGGGGTCTAGGAGTCCTCCCACCGAAAATATTTTGTTTTTTGCATTTCGAGTGTCTTTGACTTGATCATCTGCATTTAATGCTGAAATAATCATGCTTAGAAGAAAATATTTATATATACTCTGAAAAAACCAATACTTTCATCTAAACATGATTATTTCACTAATATTTACCCTCAAAATGAACCTTCACTTGGGAGACAAACAGTAATTTGTGAGAGGGAGGCAAGAGGAAGCCCTTGATACTACCACATTAACCGAGATTTAAAATCACATTATTATTAAAATTAACACACCATTGGAAGAACATTGTACACCAGCATCTTCAGAATGAGAGCAGTCATTGTTCCCCCATCCCCGATGAGAGCAACTGGACAAATTGTGCTCGCTCCCTGCACAGGAAACCTCGTCTAACCATATTGGCCCTGAACCGGTAATGAAATTACTCCCTTGCAGTGCATTTACAGCATTTAAATAACCAAGCTGACGGCATACAACTCTTGCATCTTTTATATCCCAATTGTCATCACAAACTGTTCCCCATCTTCCGTCATGGAAAATTTCAACACGTCCATCTCCTTTAGAACTTGATGGTCCTCTTAACCTAATGCCCATTGATTCATCTTGAAAACAATGGAATAAGGAAATGTATAGGTTAGCTAAATTGGTGGTGATTTGAGTCAAAGCTAATTTATCCACAAATTACGCTTCAAATTACGCTCGCTAAATCTTTTGTTCATTATCTTAAAATGCACTGATTGACCAATTATTTCGCTAATACCTATAAAGTTTACAACCGCCGATTTTTAAAATTTAAGCACATTCGTTGAGACGGCTCATGTCATCACGCGAAATTTTTGCCCGAGAGTAGAAGAGTGTCTTCACTTATTGCTTCTCAACTACTGCAAGATTTATTTTAGAGGCAAATGGGTACAAAAATTTAGAAAAGCTTGCAATCTTAACACTGACAGAAAATGCCTTTTCATGCAAGGCCTACTCCAGCTCTTAACGGATTAGTCCATTTTGTGAGCAGGGCCGCCGAGAGGGAGGGAGCAAGGGGGGCATTTTGCCCTCGGCCCCAAACCCGAAGGGCCCCCGACTTAAGAAAGAGCCTAAAATAAAAGCACCTTATAAAATGTTGGGCTCAATATTATTCGCACACTAGTCGAAAGTACTAGTGACAGTCATTGTTATTTTAATTTCTAAGATATGTTGATATTGTCGAATACGCCGTTTTCCAGCTGACTCGACCATGGTCGAATATGCCATTTTCCGGTACACTCAACCATGGTCGAATTGCCGTTTTCCAGCTGACTCGACGATGGTCGAATACGCCGTTTTTCGGAGGACTCGACCATAGTCGAATACGCCATTTAGCGACTTGACCATGGTCGAATACGCCGTTTTCCCCACAATTTCTCTCGGCGGTTCTGTCTGTGAGTTTGATTAAATCACATCAAGTTGGGGCATGCGCTTTGCATTTATATAATAACTCTTCTGCGGCACATATTCGCATTCTGCCTGGCAGATTTCTGGTGTCAGACTGTGATAAAGGGGCATCGAAGGTTAAATTTAAGAACACAGTAATTAAAGACCAAATTCATGCATCTGGGACTTGAAGTTGCCCCTCCTTTTATCCACGCGCTCATTTTTCCACTATTCTTTAATACTATTTTCTAACTATACATAATTATAGTGCCCTTTCTAATGCTATTAATAAATAAATCTTCATGACATTGATGAGAGACATTCTAATCTTCCGCCATGGTCATGATATGTTTAACCTACCTAAGCAAGGAGAGTTGTCTCCAGCTGGTTCACCATCACATGTGCATATATAAGATCCATTCGTGTTGTTGCACTTTAAATTTGGATGACAAGTGTAAATGGGCAGAGCACATTCATTTATATCTAAATGGTATAAAAAAGCATACAGATCTACAGAGTTTGATCATAAATATATATTATGAGACCACGCGAACGCCTTTTATCTTGTCACATTCTTATTTTTATTACATCATCATTCAACAGGAAGAGCGGGAAAATGTGAGCAAGAGTACCACCCTTTTGCAGTCCCAACTAGCCGGGTATGTTGTAATTCCTTTGTAATAAATTACGCCTATTTTATTGTTCTTTAGATTTTTACAGTAAAGACAATAAGCTGAGCGCTGTAAAACAAGAATAGTCAAGCGACAAAAAGACTACCTGAGATGCAATGTTTACAGTTAATTTTGCAAATTTAGGTAACAAGACTAATAATTCATCAATTCTATCAAATTTCAATGAGCGAATTTTTACAAAAAATATTTGATTGTTTTGAGCAAACTTGTACTCATTTTTTCCATTATGATTACTTATTTAGTATGTAAAATTTCAAAAAAAATGATAAATGATTCGATTGATTCACTCTAATGTGTTCAAAAATTAGAGTTTTGTAACTTTAACAGTTCAGTTTTGCAATGTGGTGAGCCTGAACTCAGATTCTTTATTGCAATATGGCTATAGTATACCTTGGCAATCGGTTCCATTTCCGGTGTAACCACTGTTACAAATGCACTGGTATGATCCAATAGAGTTGATGCATCGAGCATTGGGGTGACAAGCGTTACTTGAGGAGCATTCATTTATATCTACGGACGAAAAACCGATAATAGAAATCGCTTCAAAAAAATTATATCATTTTCGTTCCAACTCTACCTTAATATTATTCAAAAATAATATGAATAATTAGGTATAACTAATTTTTATTCAACAATATACATAATATACTAAAACGTAATATATATACCTAATTGTTTTTTAATAGTATTTAGGAAATAGAGAGCATTTTCCGTGTAGTAGAGTTATAAAAACACGCTTCTATAGACCAATCAGGTCGCGCGTACTATAAATCATTATTATATATTATTATAAAAATATGTGCCACAAAACCAAAACTAATGCTAAGTTTAGTAATGAGTACTGTGACCTTAACCTGGTTAGTATAGACGGCAAAAGTACGCTTATACTTCCTAAACCTAAACATCGCTATATAATGGGCACGTCGTGTCAAGTGATAAACTAACTGTTCTAATTTAAACGAGCGAAAAGCGTGAGAGACCTTCGCTTCCAGGCATGCGTATTGAAACTTCGGCAGACGATAGCAAATTGCCCCGCTTTGCAGGCAAAAAACACACAATAATTATGGTATCCGCGTAATGTCATGCAACTATTATTACTAACCAGAACAGCTAATGCCACTTCCAAAGTAGCCTTGATCACATTTGCAAGAAAACCCGTCGACAGTATCGATACATTGAGAATGATCACCACAGTTGTTCAAGTTCGAAGTACAATAATCAACATCTATATACAATAATAAAACATAGAAAAGTGAAAAATTATTTTATTTACAATTACCTTCCATACTCTCGAGCATTCCCCATGGCAAAACACGCTCGATAATCAGACATCAAGGGGGATATACAGTATAGCCATCCATGATTTAAAACCGTACAAAAATGAGTCACATAGAAATACATGCACATGTTTATTATATGTGTATAGAGATTTATGCACAGTAAAATGATATTAAAATCGTATTTCATTGTGTAAATTAATTTCATGCAATTCGACTGGACGTAAGATGTTTTTCACGTGTGAAAAAATGCCATACACAGCTTTTGATTGGACGTACGATATTCTTCACACGTGAAAAATTGTCGTATGTCATTTTGGCGGCAATTTGTTTACATTTTCTTTCAAGATGGCGTCCGCCGAAATACAGGAGTGAGATTCCAAACATAGTCCTCTTGCATTCAAATATTTCGAAAAGAATATCTAACTTCCATTGAATAAAATTACAAAGAAATTGAACGGTAATAAATATGTTTTGATGCATAAAATTTCGATTTTTGTTGCTCGCTGTGTTTTTGTATGTTAAAAGCGTGTCGTTGTCAAATTGATCTCTATACACATTTAATAAACAAATTACTTCATGGTTAGCTCTTTGTACGATTTTTATTGCAATCCTTCATCAAAACTCGTGCATCAAAATCGTACGTATTCCCCAACCATAAAGTAATCTCTGTATAAATAATATTAATACCTTCCACGACAAGCTCGAGACATGTTAACCTCGAAATTTTTTAGATAATGTTGAAGTGAAGCAACACGACTAATTTTTTTCGTAAGCAGAACTTTGGACGATATCGTTATCTTCATGAAATACACGAGACGTCAAAAATATCTTTTTCATTCGTGCAGATATTAATGCTGAATATATTTATAGCAGAAATTAGAGTTTTATAGCAAACTAAAAACGAAATTTTGTCGCTTCTAAAGTGTTCTTAGAAGCAGATAAATTTTGATTTTCAAAGCAATTTTTGGAAGATCTGGACACAAGAGCAGTGAAAATGCAGTATCGTTAAGAAATTCTCGTAAATAAGAATGAAATATTTTTGATCAGTCAGGAACTGAAAAACTATGAAGAATTGCATCGCGTTGCCAATTCGCGTCCGTCTTCACGCCCACAAAAAAATATTCAAAATTTTAACAATATTCGTCATTTTGTGATACGATAATTTTTTTTTTAAATTTTAATAATCGTATAATTTACCTTCTGCGGTACAGTGCACTCCAGCGTCTTCAGAATGACTGCAGTCATTATGTCCAATGGGGTTCGAAGAACAACTTGTCAAATTTCGTTCACTCCCAGTACAACGAACTTCGTCTAACCAAATCTCTCCTGAACCAGAAGGAACTTGTCCGGCTCCAAAAACGTTTAGAGCACTCTGATAACCAAGTTCATGGCATGCTACTATGGCATCTTGTATATCCCAGTTATCATCACAAATTGTTCCCCATTTTCCGTTACGAAATACTTCCACCCGACCAGTACCATTAGCACTTGATGGTCCTTTTAACCTGATATTTTTCCCTAGGTAATTAGCACATGCAATGTTAATAGTGTGGATATGGGAAAAGTCATAAAATATTATGACGCGCAATATTTTTACTATCTGATTAGCCTGCATGCGCATTAAAAATAATGTACGCTGTGAACGTGTAGTTATTCCAATGCTTTTAGAGTACAGCAGATTACACCTCATTATCGTATCATCTCGACAATGATAAATGCATGTAAAACCAACTGTAACAGAAAAAAGTAGAAATATTAGTACTCTATATACCTTGGCAAATCTCTTTATCATCACACGTGCATAAAAATGATCCATCAACGTTGGTGCAGTTTAAGCTTGAAAAACAGTTGTGGAGAGAAACGGAACATTCGTCGATATCTAAAACGGACATATATAGGACCACGATCTAAATCAATACGTAGCTATGTCATACAAGTGTGTATAGGAATAGTATACAAGTAATAATTCAAGCTCCAAATGAGCGTAGTTTTTCTTAGAAATTGAGGTAACTACAAACCAGTGCATTCAGTTCCATTTCCAGAATATCCATTTTTACATGTGCATCTATACGACCCGCGCGTATTGTAACAATCAGCGTTAGAATCACAGTTGTTTTCTGACAAACATTCATTGATATCTAGGAATACATTTTGAGGCCGTTAGAGAGAATTTGCTGTAGTTTAGTCGTTGTCTGTTCTGCTTTTTTTCTTAGCACAACTGTCATAATCAAGGTCACCGTCAAGGTCATAATTATTCGTCAATGCGCTATCCTCAATGTATTTGGTGTCGATAGCATGTCCGCCCAAATGGGGTGGGCGTAATATGCCTCCCCCCTCTACCAAAAGTGCTTTGTCCTCGAAGCTTGCGAAGGCTACCCAAGTCTCAGGTGATGTATTGTCACATTACAGTGGCATAAAATTCCATTAAACAACTATATAATTTTTGTGACGTTTTTTGCTGGGGGATTAGTGACTTAAAAACAAAGGTGCCGTAAACCCGTAAAATTTTCTGTGACTGTGTGGTGCACGTTTGATTTCCATTGCGTCAAATATTTACGTACGGAAAGTGCTTATTTGGCTAACTGTCGTAATGTATTGGCTACGAGTAGCACTATACTAACCAGTGCAAGTATCTCCGGATCCGGTGTAACCATCATTACATTCGCATGAGAAGCTTCCCACGGTGTTAACGCAGTGAGTTGTGTGTGGACAGTGATGCAATGCGGATGAGACGCATTCGTCGATATCTGATATAAACCAAAAATATAAAATATATATTGTACAAAATTTGAAATTTTTAAATTTTTTCACACTTTTCAATATTTTGGAATCAAACGTGTCGGTGTTTTAAACTTTGAGATGATCCGCTGTAGCAGCCATTCATAGCCTGAAAATCATCGTATTTTATGTATCAAACAATACCATTTTCGATTTCTATTCCGTTCCACACTTTACGAACTGAATACTTGTGACATTCTGGGAATGGTTAAACCTTCATTGCTAAAATTTACCTGTTCTAGAACATTCAACACCCGCATCGTCAAGATGGGTACAATCATGAGTTCCCCAGATAGAATGAGAACAATTCGTAAGATGTTCCTCGTTTCCAGAGCAATGAACGCTGTCTAACCATATCCGCCCTGACCCAGGAATCGCTGAATGACCCCTAAGAACTCTAGCTGCGTTTAGATAGCCAAGCTCTCTGCATACAACATTAGCATCTTTTATATCCCAAGTATCATCGCAAATTGTTCCCCAGACTCCATTATGGAAAATCTCAACGCGTCCAACGCCTTTTAAACGTGATGGGCCTCTCAATCGAACACTTGTCGATTTCACTGGAAGAAAACATAAGTATCAGCATTGGAAACGTCTAATAAACAGTCGGTTAAGAAAATCGGTCTTTAAGAGCAATTTACAACAGTCCGTGTATTGATTGCAGACATTTAGAAAAATAGGTACGCTATGTGTACATGAATCACGGCATTATCTGCTCTACGCGTCTGTTGTACGTTGGTTACACTCCTAGCCATTATATACATGTCAACAACGTAAACAAACCTGATAAAATCTTAACGGTTCCTCACGGTTAACGCTGGTTTATAGATAGCTGTATATATAAGCAATTTTTTTCGCAATTTCCCACATTTGCAAAGTGGTCATTGAATTTAATTCGTATATTGCAATACTAGGGGAAGAGGAGCAGCCATATACCTGAAACAACCAACCAAAACGAAAGCCCCTCTTATACAACACTTAATTTATTGGTGAAGGATAGCTAAACTCCATGTGCTTGACTTTGTATTGGTAGCTTAAGCATAAAGAAAATTGGGCATGGCTACCATTTTTAGCTATTGTGTAAGCTAATATTTTGGATGGATGTAGTGGTCGATACTATGCTATCTTTACTATTCAACCATGGATGTTCCAATAAAATTATAACCCCTGCATGCGCATGTATCGCTATCAGCTCATATACGACTCGAGTTCGCAAAATAACTGTTAGATAATACCGGCTGTCTTCATTTCCACAGTTTCACAACAGTAAAAATCATGGAATTCTTTCGGTAACAAGGGCAGAGCTGTATGTAAAACTAATTAAAAATGGTTTTCTAACAATTCCAGTTGATTTCATGTAACGCCTGCGTCGTAGCTTTGGTGCATCTTAAGGTCCCTAATATTAACTAACAACTAAAAAATTATAACATTTTCACTATAACATGAACGTAAATGTTAAATAGCTCAACTTGCCAAATAATCTAAAAATGTTGGTGTTACATCGACTACAACCTTTCTCTTGTATATGAATGTAAATATTTGTAAATCTATATATTGTTCTTTTCTATGAATGTGTACATATGTATCATAACAGATAAAAAACTTAATATAGACAGGAAGACGTTCTCTCAATAGACAAGAAGACGTTGTCTTAATAGTCAAGAAGACGTTGTCGTAATGACAAAAAATAAATTGCAATGACTGACCTATAATCTGTGTAGACATTTTATATCCCGTTAAGTGCAAACAATGTAAATGCCAGGAAAAGGACGAAAAAAACTTTTCAAAAATCCACGCGCAGTATAGAAAAATTCCTGCTATAATCATGCAAACATGTACCTTCGCAAGAATTTTCGTTCCCATCTCGAACAGTGTCACAAGTACATAGATAAGATCCATTGATGTTGGTGCAGTTGGTGTTATCAGCGCAATTGTGCGTAGACAGAGAACACTCATCAATATCTGGAGGGGAAAATAGGATGTAAACTCATTTAATTGTTTCTGTGTTTACTGAAAAATAGATATATGTTAAAGATTATTCGGGTATTTAACCTTCAAAACGTTCCATGAAAAAAGAGACACACCTTCGCAATGGATTCCATCTCCAGTATATCCGTTGTTGCATGCGCATTGGTAAGATCCCACTGAGTGTTGGTGCAAGAAGCTCTTGAACTACTACTGCAGTTGTTAGAATACGCGCATTCGTTGATATCTAAAAATGAATGTTATTGGAAACTAAGGCAAATTCAACGACAAAGGAATAAAGGTTGACAGTCATGACACTGGTTAAAAGTTATCTCGTATCCGTAAACGATGATTATTTTAATGATGTTAAATGCATTATGAGTAACTGGAGAGTAATGAAAAAAAAGAAAATCTAAATTAAAGGAAAGTCTATTCACCGAAATCATGCATATTCAATCTCGGCATAGGCACCTTGAATTGGTCAAAGATAAGCTCATTCACTCAAAAACTGCAATAAAAATTGAGGATTTATTCTTGAGGCGAATGCGCCCCCTGAACTCGGGCATCTCACTCGAGCAAGTGCATCCTTGGTGTTCGCGTGCTTACCTCTAAGATGGCTTTCGCGAAAAAGTGACGACGCAAAAGAAATTACTTACCACTACAAGAAACGCCGTTTCCAGTAAAACCTTTATTGCATTTACAGGTAAACCACCCATTAGCGCTAATACATTGAGCATTATTGTGACAGTTGTGCAATCCTGACGAACAAGGTTCAACTTCTATAAAAAGTAATCCAGTGTAAAATAAATTTCATTGACATAATTTAGACAAATATTAATTACCAAAATTATTGAAAAAAATAATATAATTATCATCGATGGAAAATACGGCTTTTTTTATTTACTCAACAAGAAGCAACGATTTATTTTTTTATACATACATATTATGACATTACACTATAGCCCGCCTATAGGCAATACATTACTATCTATCTGTTTGTCGCATTAAGATCGAGTCTGCATATTTCCTCGATCTCGCATTAAGAAATGTTTTGATGCAGAATCCTGGTTTTATCCTGATTTGAGTGGACTGAAAGATCGAAAATTAACGATTCTTCGAACTGAGGCAGAATGTGTTTTCTATTTGTGTATTTTTGCGCCTTTAGTGTTTGCTTTCGTCTGAAATTGTGAAAAATCAGACAATTCGGGCAATTATTACAGAACGCTATCTCTGAGTTCACATGCAGAATTATGTACGGGGAACGGAATATAATATGATACACTAAGTTTTATTAATTATTCATGACTATACTGTACACACAATCTCCCTTTAGATTGGTTAGCCAAATTCAAGTAATTCTTGGAATTTATAATTATGACGTCAAATTTACCAATAATTTTGGCTATTGTGTAATTGTGACGTCATATCCACAAAATTAATAATGGTTTCCTGACACTCGCAAAAGTATCGGCTTAACTTCGAGGTTTGCCATAGCTTCTTGCAAACGATGTTCAAACGTTTTAGGAAAGAAAGGATGATTTAAGCAAAAATAAATTGTTGTTAATTTCAGTATAAAATGAAAGGAAGCGAGCGGACTTGAAGCATGCACCGGGGTTTTGAAATTATATTCTACGTTCAAGCTTGAGTAATATGGTTAAGGTGAATAATGAAATAATTATGAAATTCGATTTTCGCGTGATATTGAGAATAATCAATGCTCGTTTGACGTTATCTGCCTCAGCATACGGCCTCGGGAGATACCGCCAACCTCTGCCTTAGTAATTCTGAATACGACGCTCAACTTCATGCAATAATTATTGCATGTAAAACAAAAAATATAAAAAAATTCTGCAGTGAAAAGCCATATTGCGGATTTACCTTCGGATGAACATACAACTCCAGCATCTTCAGAATGACTGCAGTCATTTCTTCCTAAACCACGATGTGAACAATTGAAAAGGTTTAACTCTGTACCAGTACAACCAACTTCGTCTAACCAAATCTGTCCTAACCCAGAAGGAACAAATTCTCCTTGGAGAGCTTGACGAGCACCAGGGTAACCAAGTTGACGACATGCTACTTGAGCATCATTTATATCCCATCTATCATCACAGACTGTTCCCCATTGTCCTCCGTAGAACACTTCGAGTCGGCCAGTACCATTTAAGCTTGATGGTCCTCGTAACCTGATATCGTTTACTGTAAATTGCAATTATCACAATCACACAAATAAATCTTAGTTTGATTATCAATCACCCATGACCTAGTTGCCTGTTCATATGGGGATAACTGAAGGTTGGCCGGGTTCAAATCAGCGAAATCTTATTTAGTTTTTATTCTTTCTTTCTTCACTCTTTATTATGGTCAGTCTAGACAATTTTTGCTGCAATTTTCTTCTTTTGAACGATGTGAACGAGCAAAAAATGTGCATATTATAAGGCACTCATACATGAGTATCATTCACTCAAATGGAAAAAAACAGAATAAAAACAAATTTTCTAAATCATTTCTTCGCTTAATGATATACAGCTATATAAAAGAACCAGGGCCGCCAAGAGTGAGTTTGGGGAGGGGGGGGGTTATTTTGTCCCGGGCCCACACTTGAAGGGGCCCTTGACTTAAGAAAGAACTTAATTTAAAGCACCTTAAAAAAATTTTGGGCTCGGTGTATTATTCACGCGCTGGTAAAAAGTCATAGTTATTTTAATTTCTAAGATACGTTGATGATGTTTGCAAAAAGGTTGTTAAACTTTTTCACATCGCTTTGAAATAATTTATGCCTCGCAGATATTTAAAACCATGACGCCATAGGGCCCCAGAATATATTTTTGCGCGGGCCAAACAATTTCTCTCGGCGGCCCTGAGAAGAACCACTGAGGTGTAATGCACCATTTATGCATCGTATAAAACGATGTTAATAAGCTATAGACATGGTTCGGAAGTCGTTGTATTATAATAATTGATGGGCAATGTTTTACAAAGGTGTCAGCAAAACAAATATATTAAATCTAAAAAAAAATGATAGGAGGGAAGAGGGTGCATGGTATTCCCCGAGCCGTTCCAGGCACCGTGCGAGGGTACTAATTCCGCCCGGAGATTAGGAAATACACCCGGGTATTGTGACAGAACATAGCGGAATCCAAAGTTGTCAAAGTCCCATTTGATGAACGTTGGATGGTATTGTTAGTTATGCGCATGCGCGAAATTTAAATGAGTAGAAACCGTCAATCAGCAACTTCCTGATTGGCTGAGTCAGAAATTTGTATTTTAATAATAACGTCGGCACTCGTCAATTTAGGCAAATTCGCAAACTTTTTTTTATTTTTTTAAAAATTACACGAAATAAATTATAACAGACCCAATGAAAATCATCAAGAAACATTTATCAGTTTATTTATATATATGATCTTGATGGGTCGTTTTCCAAAGTCATGTTTGGTTATGACAGGCTTTTACATTTAACTTCAAAAGGCTTTTTTAAGACGTAAATTTATATTTCAATGTAACTGTCGCTTCAAAATCAAAGCTATGGGGTCTATAATCGGCTGTACAAAACGGGTGACATCACCTTCGATGTTGTGAATATATTTTGTACCAAATGATAAAAATATTGGCTATCGACGCTTTGCCATTGAGTCATTCCATATACTAGGGCCATAATTTGTACGAAGAAATAAAAGTCACGACTAATTTAAGCCGCGACTTAAATAAGACGCGATCTCGTCGTACAAACGATACAAAATGCTAGTTCACGTCTTAGATAAGAGGGTTTCTATCGTGACTTAGATAAAAACAGGGATTTTACCTGTTCTTATTTCAGACGCATGTGTGAACACGGCCGAAAAAGTCAGAAATCACTACGGAAAATACAAGAAAAGCCATGGATTCTTTATGTAAAGAATGAGCAAAACTTATGGAAGTAGGACGCAAAGGAATGAGCTAACTATTTATACCAGTTCGCGTCTTAATTAAGTCGTGACTTATTTTGCCCTAATATAAACTTATATAATTATAGCCCTAATATGAACTTATATAGTTATAGCCCTAAGATAAACTTATATAGTTATGGCCAATTTAGGCCCAGGAGATTATTTTCTTGGTGGAAAATGTCGAGGGGTGCAGCATGCATTTCTAGTATATTATGTGAAACATTTACATGCATGTTATCAGGCCCTAAGGTATGGGAAATAATTTCTTTTTCCAAGCTCGTAAGTGCGAGATAATACGCCCAGGCAAAATGCGTTCAGAGACGACATATATATACATAGGTGACAGAAGTATATATGCATTGATAATATGTGTAACGTAAAGACATTCTATACGACGAATGTTATTGGGCTGTATTCTATGGGAATATAGCCTAAAATTTAAAACTTTATCTGTTATCTAGGTATATTGCATACTAGCGGTATCCTTTTTGAGTGGAATCTCCCGCCTTTCAGTTGACAGCAAAAATGCAAAATAAATTTTTCATTATCATTATCATTACTAATTATCATTGACGTTTTTCTTGCCCAATTGTGAATTAAATATTGTATTTCAGGTTGTGAGAAGCTTTTTATACAACTTAAAAAGATTACATTTTTAGCCTTTAGCAATAGAAGGGAATGCATAACACCATGCACACAGTGATTTCATCTTCTTTCAAGATAAATAAATTTTCCTAACTCGCTATTGACATTAAGCATGTTTGTAATGCATGACCTGGCAATATCAGGCAGTGTTTGCATACGGAAATTTACACTTCAATACCAATATCACTGTGTTTCGCTAACTATAAAATTTGGGCATAAAATTACGAACGTTGTGATGTGTGTGTCAGCTAATTCTACTGCCCTGGCATTTTCGTTTCATATAAATATAAAAGTGTATTTGTAAACCTCCGTCGCTAGAAAGCCCTAAAAGCATCATAAAATATTGATGCAATAAATTTAATGGCTATTATTACTTTCGTTACGAATACACGCATATTGCATCTTGATGAGTATCTCAGTCGTATTTGCATGCAGCGTGGTTCAATACACTAAAATTCCTCTTTTATTGACTCTGCTGCTAATGTTTGCCAATACCTGTTGTCATATTTAGCTGCTTGTTCGAGTACCATATTCATGGGGCCCAGTTTTTCAATCCGATCTGGGTTCAGTCTGAAACTGAATTTTTATTATACAAACTATCTTTCCTGTTGGCACAAACGATTTCCCTTAACTTCGCCTTTTTACTCTCCTCAAAAAATATGTTGTCTACAAACATCACAATACATTACAGTATCTTAAAAGTAGTCACAATATCAGGTAGCATAAACAATTATCATGTATTGACACACAATACTCTTACATCGCAGGTCGATGTCAACGATGCCCCAGTTCTCATAACAACGCGTAAGAGAAGCCTCGCTATCAGAGGCTTCAAATACGATTTCAGTTTTTCCGTAGGAGATTATAGTTATAAAGTATGGTATAAAAAACAATAGCGGATCTCTCATTAGTCTCCTGCAGACGATGATACGAAATTAAAATTTACCATGTTTTACCGCTATACATGTGGATTTAGGTCTCAGAACCATCTAATGTCTGAGGACCAACCAATTTATGTGTAACTGATGCTCTCTCAAATTGAGAACTCGTGGATTTGGAGTCGACTTTACATTATTATACGACCGCACGGCCCTAATTAGCGCGCTGTCTAGACTGAGTGTTCTGCATAACAAAATTCGACT